ATATATATATATTTCTGTGTCTTATATAAATACATACATAGATAAAATTAGCCAAGAAACTTCTGAATTATGAAAGCAAGAGGAGTAATGAACATTACCTGTATACCAGTGCAGATCATAAAACTGTGTAGTATTGCAACAACAAATTATCACAAAGAATCCATATGGATGTAAGACTTGTTTGTCTTGTTCTTGTTGCTGTTTTGTTTTGTTTTGTTTTTGGTACTAGGTCCTTGCACTTGTGAGGCAGGCAGCAGAACCACTGAACTAAATCCCTGGCCCAAGACTTGTTTGTTTTGATAAGAGTAGCAGAGAGGCTTACACAAAGCCAACCCTATCAGAAATGATATCAAATGTAAACTGTCCAAACAGCAGGTGGCAGGGCTGAGCACAGAGCTCAGTCTCAGAGTGGACACCAACATGTGTGAGGTGTTAGGTTTGCTCTCCCACAGCAAAAACTGCAGAAGTTAACAGAAGATGGTGTCTGAAATATGGAAGGGAGAAGGGGTACAGGTAGAGTCTCTCCCTCTGTCCAAGGACACAGTGAAGAAACATCTACTTGTGTTTCAGGTTCCTCTGAAAGACAGGCATAAGTGAAGCGAGAGACTTCAATGTACTGGGTGCTGTGGTTTGTGTCTCAATGTCACCCAAAGCTTATAGGGGTGGATCATGGGGATGTGATACTCAGCAGTGGACCAGTCCATTGATGACTTTATAGCTAAATGTGATGTTGGGAGTTGGGGCAAGTTGGAGAAGGCAGTCACTAGAGTGTGGCTGGAAAGGTCTCTCCCTCTCCCTCTGCCCCCTCCTCCCTTGATCTCTCGATCTCTCTCTCTCTCTCTCTCTCTCTCTCTCTCTCTCTCTGCTTCCTGCTGTGGTGCCATAAGCTGTTTCTCCTCTGCCATGTTGCCCTGGCTTGGAGCCAGCTGGCTATGGTCTGAAGCCTCTACAAACTGTGAGCCAATAAACTTCTCCTTATTTAAATTGTGCCAAGTATTCTGTCTCAGCAACACAAAAGTAAATGAGACACTGAGCAACTGAGAAAATTAGCACACCAAAGCAGTAGGAAAGCCAAGGCACACTTGGAGATGAATCCTAACAAAGTGTTATATAGTAATTGAGAAAGAATCTCCAACACCAAGCATCAACCTGACCATATACAATAGCACCCTAACTCTAAAGTGCCCGACAGTCTGGATTGTAATCAACAGGCCCTGGAAAAGAAGGGGATTAGTTTCTTTAAAATACACACAAAAACACCAGAAGTTTCTTCAGAACATAAAAAAAGTGGTGGTTTTCTATGGTCATGCAAGTACTTTCACATGCTTCATTCCTAGGGATCAAGGAAAAGACATGCAGCTGTGGATACTGGTGTCAAGCAGCTGACCCAAAGATCATGAAAAAATGGAGGAGGCCCATCAATATGTCACATATCTAGGCCCTTGCCTATGCTCTGCCCAACTCACATCTCCCTTCTGAAAGTTGGTCCAAATCTTCTAATAGTGCCCAGATTTTTATAGCTTCTGGATGGAGAACTATTTAAATGTTATTTACTCCAGGCAGTACTATCGATAATTATTTTGTCCATTCAAAGTAGGGACTTTAGCTGTCACACTTCTGCTTCTGCTCTTAAGTACTGAGAGGATTCAGGTCATAAGGATATACTTTAGAGGAGAATTACTATTAATGAAGCCTTCTTCATACTGCATAAGAAGTAAACTTTCCCAGGCCAGGGATTTAGCTCAGCGGTTCAATGGCCTGCCTTGCAAGCGCAAGGACCCAAGTTCAATCCCCAGTACCAAAAAAACAAAAAAAAGAAAAAGTAGTAAACTTTCCCAAAAAAAACAAGATTGGCATGCAGTGGCCTAATATTTTTGGTAGAAACTTTGTTCCTGGAAACTAGTCTTACAAGTGCTAGGCAGGCTATTTAATGCAGGATTGGTATCAGCAATTCCATAGCCAGAAAACATATCAAGCAACCCCACGTTATGGCTTGTGGCTAGATGCCCGCAAAGTTTCATGCATCATAGTTTCATACTTTGCAGAGGTGAATGGATCTAAAGTGTGTAATACTAGGATTAAGTATGTAATGTGGGAAACAAGGGTGTGTGATTACTACATTAGTCCACTGATTGGTCTGGCATAGTTCTGGGTGTGGATAATAGGAAGGCCCACTCTGGGTATGAGCACTTCTCACCCTAAGGGAGTATAGCCTAGATAGAATATAAGGGACAGAAAGAGGGTTGCTACTTACCCCTTGCTGCTTTTGCTGCCTCTTGTCTTCCATGCCATGAACCACTTTTCTCCTCTGCGTTGCCCCTCTGTCATGCCATCCTGCCTTGGAGCTAGCCAATTATGGACTGAAACCTCTGTAAACCATGAGTCCAAATAAACTTTTCCTCCTTTAACTTTGGTTGTTCAGATATTTTGTCTCAGCAATGAAAAAAGAACTAAAACACTACATATACAGCTAACACACAGTAAGATTTAATTAGCAAACGCTAGTATAGATATGTTCATTTGACACGAGTAAACTGAGCCAGTTAGTAATAAAACTGTACAGTGGCAGAGCTAGAAGTAGACTCACTGCACATCTCGCAGCCTGCATCTGTCTGCAGACTCTACTCAGCATCATTATTTTGGATGCAACTGCACCATCTGCAGAGCTTCTGGATGGAACCAGCATCTGTACACCCAGAAGCACACACCCAGGACCATCTACTGACAGATTAATTCACAGCACATCTACAATCACAAATTCTCCACTGCCTAGCCTGAAGATCAGATGCTAATGCTATCCTCCCTAATAGCACAGATCCAGAGATCACAGGAAAAAAGTCCCTCGGAGATCCACTAATCTTTTTGCTCCCATCAGGGAGTGGGTTAACAATCAAACATGCTATCGTCCCAGAAAAAGCCCAGGGCTCCTCTTTCACATTTTCAACCACCCAGGAAACACAGAATGCAACTTGACTCCAGAGAGCACCTGGGGAGACCCACAGTGTCCAGAATTTCTGGGCAGAAGATGGTGGAATAAGGTTAGATGCAAATGTGCACAAGGAACCTGGAAGTTCCCTTACTATGGTCCTGGGCCAGTGATGTCACTGGTGTAACTACACTTCCCACAAGATTGCACTCCTCCATGAGGAACCAAGAGAGGAGCCCCGAGACTGGAAAGTTCTGTTGCTAGGACAGCAGGTCCTGATGGAGCAAGAATAGTCTATATTAAGATAACAGCAATATGTAACTTTTGTTCTTTACTATACTCTGGCTTAACAACTTGGGCCATTATGATAACAATGGGGAAAACTGAATGGGGGGCCAATTAGGGACATTAATGAATAACTCTCTTTTAGTTCTTATACAAATACTATATTACTGGTATGGGGCACACCTCCATTTTTTAGAGATGCATTAAAAAGTATAAAATAGTATCTACATTTTATTTTAAATTTGTTTAAAAAATAATATACTTTCCAACCAATCACCCATGAAACTAATTTGTGAGTATTCACTGGATTATATTACTTAGGAAAACTGCTCTTGTACAAATAAAGAATAAAGCAGCAAAGTAATACAATAGGGGTGTGTACCCCATAATTCTTGTTCATATCTGTCTCATTTCTTGGCACAGAAACTCAAGTTCAGTGCACCCATCAATCAGCCAGATCTTTAATCATTGTGCGTGTGTGTGTGTGTGTGTGTGCGCGTGCACATAAAAGAGAAAGATAAAGAGACAGACAGACAGACAGAGACAGCCAGAGAAAAGATCCTAAACTTTCCCACTCCTTCACTTATTTCTGTCACAAACCAGGCAGCGAGTTCTGAGCATGGGGTTTTCCAGAGGTTCACTGACAATGAAATTTCTCTCAAGTGGGAAAATTGATGTCTGACTTGTGTGATCAGGGTAGATGTGGGTTTGAGTAGTAAAAAGGAAATCAGATGAAAGTGCACAGAGGATTATGGGCAGGTGTGCTGTGGTCAGAGCCTGAAGATGGTCCTTCAACTAATCCCTACTCCCTTTCTCCTCCATAGATTAGAGAGTCAAACAGACTAAGATTGTAGATCCTGGATGACACAGCCCCAGGAGACAGAAACATTATGTACCCTTGTTCCTTTTCTGCGCATGCCACGATCACAACCTAATCATGTCCAGCCTAGGCCAAGTGGATCATGTGGCACTAGTTACCCTGCATTCCTATACTATAAATAAAGAGTGCACTGAATGCCAGAAGGCCATCAGCTCATTAGGGTATGGTCTAATCTGGTCCCAGCTACGAAGCTTAATCTTGGTGTATATCTTTCTTTCTTGTTATTTTCCAATTTTCTCCATCTCCCACCACTCTCCTGGGCTTCCGACCCTATCCTGTGCCGGTCAAGGCACAGGTAGGTGGCAGTGTGTTGCTTAAATCATTCATGAGACCTACCCCTGCTTTTCTCTTTTACTACTAAAGGCACTGCATTTTTCAGAGTTTTGTATATCCTTTGTTCCAACTGACCCTTCATGACTCTTCTACAGAGCCAGGAAACTCAGCCTTGATCCTCTCAAGCCCTCTTCCCTGCACTTTGGAATCCCTAGTCTCTCAGAATTACTCACTGTCTGGGGATGCTTTAAGTACAGGCAGTATTGGGTGAAGGGAATCAGTATTTGCTAAGCAACAATATAGGATGTAAAATGACACTCCTTCATTTTTGTGGGCCTAATTCTTCTATCCATAAACTGGATACACATACAGATGTGTAGACATCATCCTGAGCCAATCTGTAATAATACAAAGAATAAGAATGCAATCCTTTTCCTCACTCTGTGGAAGTCCTCAGAAGAATCAAGGAGAGGATACTAAGTGACCATACAGATAATCCCAAAAGAAGTCATATATCCTAGTTCTCAAAGTTCAAGTGTTCACATTTTTTAAAAAGTAATGTGTAATTATTTTGCTTGTGATACTGTCATATCTGGTAGTGTTTCCTTTAATTTATTTTGGGATTGTTTACCTGATTAACAGATGTGTTTCATTCTGGTGCTGGCTTTGTAGTTGTGCGCATATATCAAAACAAAATATATCTATTTTAAATATACTCAGATTATCATAACAATTATACCTCAGTAACTGTAAAATTGAAGGGTCCATGTAAAGCTGGGCTTTAAAAGATACATACAGTCTTAAATATGTAAAATAAAGAGACTAAAACTCTATTAGCTAATCATCAGTCTTGGTAATTTAGAAAATACAATTTTATAATAAAGAGAATTCTTAGTAAAAGATAAATTTAACTGTATCGAAAATGAATATACTAGATAGTCACAGCAGTGCCAAATATTGACTAATAAAATTTAAAGAGTTCTACTAAATTTGATACTGAATTTGATTAAATGATATATTAATTATATGTAACATAAATGTGTATATACTGTATACAGTCATGACTTGTTTAAGGATCGGTATACATTCTGTAAAAGATACTGCTATGTACATTTTACAGTGTACTTACACAAACTAAGAAAACACAACCTACTACACAAGCAGGCTATATTTACAGCTAGTGTTGTACAAGAAATCCATGACTCACCAAAGTGTCTTTAAAGTACTTAACTGTATGTTATAAATTAGTATGGACCTGGCAAAGAGATGGATAAATACAACTATTGAACTAAAAAGACAATGTTTTAAAAGATCTTTTCCTTTCAAACACACATAAATGCCAGTGACTGCACTGCAGAGGAGTAAACAGCAGATTCCCTTTTGAATAAAAGCTTCTGGGAAACAGGGTATCTATGTGGCAAATAATGGTATTGTAACTTTTCCTCATACCACATAATAAATCATTTTCAGAAGTGAGAAAGACCTAAATATAAAAGCAAACTATAAGACATTCAAAAGTTGCTTTAGGAGCCAGGCATGGTGGTGCACACCTGTAATCCCAGCACTCGAGAGGCTGAGGCAGGAGGATCACTGTGAGTTCGAGACCAGCCTGGGTTACACAGTGAGTTCCAGGTCAGTCTCAACTACATGGTGAGACACTGTCTCAAAAAAACCAAAAAGCAAACAAAAAAGTTTCTTTAGGAAATGACATTATTTCTTTTCATAGCCATATAAATCAGTATTAAAAGCCAAATATTCGTAAATTGGACTACATTAAAATTAAAATTCTATTCATCAAATGAAACATTAAAGAGTGTAAAGAGAAATGACCAAGTGGAAGAAATAGCCTCACATATGACAAAGCATATTAAGTAAGAAAGGAAAGGATAAATAGAAGCCCTTGAAGAATAGCAGGAAAAGACTTCAATAACCACATTATATAGGCAATGGCAAGTGATCAATAATCACCAACAAGCTCAAGAAGCAGCTCAGAGAAACAAAACTACATCATAAGACAAACATACACAGTTTCGGGCCAGGAATGTAGCTCAGTGGCACCATACCTGCCTGGCAAGCACAAGATCCTGAGTTCAATGCCTGGTACAAAGAAAAAAAAAATCATACACAGTATTGATAAAGACATGGAACAACTGAATTTTCATGAAATAAAGATGGAATGTTTCTATCCATTTGGGGAAAGTTTAGCTGATACAAAATCACTGTACATGAATGCCATGATAGTCTAGGGCAGCGGTAGCGAACCTAAGGCACACATCCCACAGCTGGCTGTTCATTATGACTGAAAGTGCTAAAAGGTTTGTTTGCCATCACTGGGAGGATACAGCAGTATTGGTGCAAACAAGTGAAATTAAGCATATTGAGGACAGAGGTAGTAGATTCAGGAAAAGAACAAAGTGTCAGGCACTTTCTATCAGCCAGCCAGAGTCTAGGTCTAATATATCCAATGTAACAAGTATTACCAAAAAAAATTGCATGAAATGTATATAGATGTCACATGTGTTTGATATTTCACATGTATGTATGTTTCACAAATTGCAGAATTTATAAAAAATAAAAATTTACAGACATACAGAAAAACTTGATTACCCACATCATGTTTTAGATCATAGAACTCATTACAACAGTGATCATTTCATCCCAAATTAATCTACATTATCCCATGAAAATTTCAACATACTTATTTGTAACAGAAGGGGCCAAATCCTAAAAATACTCAAATTCATTTGGAAGCTTAAAACACAGGCATATATGAAATTAGCCAAGAAACTTCTAAATTGTAAGAGTAACAGTGGTAGCTATTTTTACCTGACACTTACCATATTATTATCAAACTACAACAATATAATAATAAAGACCAAATAATAACATTACAAATTAAATCCACAGAAGAATCCACATGGATGTAGGGCAGCATTGGCACTGTTCAACAGAAAGGTCTTTATAAAACCCATCATATCAGTAATTGATTAAACAGCACAAGATGCAGAGCCTGGGGCTTAGGGACATGGCTCCGGGGTCGAGTGTGTGCCCGAAAGGTTAAGGCCCTGAGTTCCACCTCACCACCAAACACAGTAAAGTAGAGAGAATGGGCAATGAGCTGGATTTAAGGAATCTGTCACCAGATCGGGTGGAAATTAGGTATTGAGGTCTGGGCTCAGAATTGGTGGCGCTACTCTAAAACCATCTTAGAACAGAAGAGGAAAGGGAAAGCCTCAAGGATACCGCGGCTGGGCCAAGCACCCCTCAGGAGGGGCCCTACCACCAGGGGAGATGGGCGCGGCAGCGGGCTAGCCTAGGCTGGAGTCGCCCCAGGCTTCAAACTGGACTGACAGGGCCCGGGCCCGCCCACCGGAAGCGCCGCAGTGCAGCCCATGGTAGCCCGGGAACCGCGGAGCCGGGTTCCACAGCACCTTCGGCCAGGGTCCGAATGCTAGCCGCGCACTTACCATTTACAGCTGCCGGATTCCCAGCGTTCTTTGCTAGGGTTCTTTGCTCGCACCTGGCAGGTGACAGGGTGCAGGAGCAGAGGAGGAGCGGCCTCAAACTCCAGAGAGAAAAACAGCAGAGCCAGGTGAGGGAACCCCAAGGGGGAAAGCCCGCCCTTTCCGCTCTGGTCATGCGCCTCATTGGACAGCTCTCTATCTCTGATTGGATAGGGTTTCAGGCGCCACCCGCTCCTGGTGACAGGAGACAGCCATCGCCGGTTGAATAGGGCCAGGCAGGAGGTTCTCGGCTGGAGGTATTTCTCTTTTTTGCCTTGCTGAGTATCAAATCCAGCCCCGAAGCTGCTTTTAAGGCAGGAATTTAGCTACGTCGCAAGACCTGGCACAGTCATGGGGAAACTTGGATTTGACTTTTATTTAAGGTTGTATCAGACCCAGGCTTGTTGTGGATACCCAAAATCCCAGGACTCTGAGGTGCAGAGGCTGGAGGATCTCAAAGTCAACCAATCGCTGCAATTTAGCGACTTAGCAAGACCCTGTCTCACAATTTAAAAAAAAAAAAAAAAAAGAACTCAAAAGTGTTGTTCGTGTAACTCTATGAAGACCGTGGATTTAAACCCTGGTGTCACAAAAACTCGTATCTATTTATTAATATTTATGTGTGCACATTATTTACAAATGGAAAAAATATAATGATAATTATTTTTAAATTTCACTTAACTTGTCTCTGGTCTTGGGAGGAAGTAGCTTGAGATTTGAAATGATAAGCAATCCCCTAAATCAGCAATGTCCAAGACAGACTGTGAGACAAAAGTGTAATTTTTAATTTATTACTATTCACATTTTAAAACATTAACAAGGCAGGAATGGTGATGCATACCTGTAATCCTGGCACTGTGCGATCCTGAAGCAGAAGAATCAAAGCATAGCTTGGCCTGGGCAACCTAGTGACTCAATGAGACTGTTTTAAAAATAAAAAAGACTGGGGGTGTAGCTCAGGGTGAAGTTTGTGTGTTCAATACCCAGTACATACATACATAAATATTAAGAGACAGGTGAAAGTGTTATCAGGTTTTGGGGTGGTGGAGTCTCCTTCTGGAGGTGGTTTGTAGGTTCTTTCCATCTCAAACAGAGAATTGAGTGAAACAAGCAAAAACAGTGGCAAAGTTTCACACTTATTTGAGGTAGGAAAAATTAAAAATGAAGGATAAGGGAAAAACCGACTCTGTAGAGAGAGTCTGGGCCAAGTCAAAATAAAAATAAGGGTAGGGGAAAGGTAATAAGGGGAAAAAAATGGAAATAAAGTGTTTGTAAATGGGAAAGGGAGGAGGGGGTGAAGGGAGGGCAGGGACAAGGGGGAAAAATGAGAACCAAGACCACCTGTCATGTAAAGGTACAAGATCCCAATAATGAATGTAACTGTACTGTATACCTAAAATGTACCAATAAACTCAATGAAAGAAAAAAAAGAAAAAGTACATCCTAGACAATATAGGGTGTGCTGATGTGGGGTGGCATGTTAGTGAGCTCTTCATGCTGTCTTGTCTCTTTTAGTTCATTCCACACGTGGTAGATTCTCAGAAGTCCACATAGGAGTCCTGAGTATTGTTTTGTGCATGTGTCCTGAGAAAGATTATGCCTCCCTTCCTAGACAATCTAAGCTGCTCCTATCTTCCTATCTCAAAAGTGATTGTAATAACCTCACATGTCCAAAATATTACCATTGTAATTAAGGGTCAATATAAAATTATTACTGAAATGTATATTTTTGGTACTAATCTCCAAAATTTACTGTTAACTCTCAGTACATACATGTTCAGAGCCACCATGTTCCAATATAATGTGATTCCTCTGACCTTAGTGAGATAAAGGGCCTGAACCCCTCTCTTTTTTGCCACAGGTGAGGGAACCCACTGCCTTACCAGTATTTCTCCACAGCTCGAGGAGAGGTGGAGACAGTATCCTGAGAGAGACCCAGGAGCTCCAACCAGGATGTGTCCCAGGGGTAGTCCACAGATTCCAAACTGGTGCTGGGCACAGGGCCATCTCTTTTCTGGAGTTCAAACAGTTAAACAAAGGCAAATGAAGTAGAGAGCCTCATGTCTTCAGGTATTCCCATAGCCTTGACCTCCAGATTTAAAATAAACTGCTTTTTTTGTGTTTAACCTTGAACATAATCAGTCAGGCCAGGATGTGGATCCTGATACAAGACCAATTCCTGAAGCTATCCTGCCTTATGCAAACCACATATGAGTGTCCAAAGCAGGAGGGAGGAAGGCTTTTCTTTTCAGGAGCCTAAAAGGGCTCCTGAAGAGGGCTAGGTGAATAGGGATAGCAGAAAGTGCTCTGGAATTAAGAAAATTGAAAGCTGAGATTATCCTTAGAACAAGCACAATTGTTGGACATATGCATTGGGCCTAGTTGCCTATGTTGTCTCAGGTTCTGAGTCTCGTCTGTCGTTGGCTTCATTTGTCAAATTTTATTCATGGTAATTCTACTCCTGACAATTCTATTTGAATAATGTGAATAGGCATATTTGTACTGAGATTTCAGGCCTACACTCAGAGTAGGGAGCAACTATGGAGCAGGTTACACAAAAGAACAGCAAACAAACAGGCACAGGAAGAAATGAAACTTATTAAGACCAGCACGTCCTCTCCTAATAGATGTTTATGATAAGTTAATCATAGTTGAGATGCTACTTACTGAAGACATTTCACAGGTAAGAAGAGTAAGTGAATGAGACAGTTTTATGGATATTTTAAGAATTTAGCTTTTATGGTAAGGAATACATTTTCTATTACATCCCAGTATGTAATCACACACCCTTTAAAAACAAAAGGTAAAGAAAACTTATCTTTATAAAGTGATACTCTAATGTATTATTTTACATAGTGTTCTATTTTGATTATAGCAAGTTCACCAAGCTCCTCAGAATTAACTCTGCCTGCGACTTTTAAAATATTGAGTTAGCTGGGGATTTAGCTCAGTGGTTCCGCCACCTGCGTCACAAGCACAGGACCCAGGTTTGATCCCCGGTACCAAAAAAAAATTTTTTTGCTAAAATATTGAGTCAGAAGAACAATAAATTTAATGGTCAGGCACCACATCGTTCACTTCCACTTCCACCTGCATGGCTACTTGACAGCAAACTCACTCTCAGGCCCTTTTCTCCTCTCAGTGCACTGAGATGGGCAGTGTGGCATTTTTTTCTGAGATATAAAAGTTTACTACTTGGGTGTCTCACACTTTGCTCTCCAAAAAGAAACTAGGGCTACCATTTTAAAGTGTACACATACTGGTCTGGGACTGACCTTTCCAATTTTTCATTTGACTCATTTGAGGATTTTATTCTGAAGCCAACCTTACTTAGAAGCCCTGAAATTAGCCTCTGTGTTATGCTTCCCATTTTCTGTTAATATTGTGCTAATACCTGCTGATGATGTGATATCATCTCATAATTTACTTGACATTTTTACTTAACTTCTTGTATAACATTTGCTCAGGAAAATGTGATCTTCAGAATGAGGCAACATCCAGAAAGCAATAAGCTGACCTCAATACTCTGAGTGCTATCTGTCAATAATTCAATGGTGAGCGGCATGCTTAGGTCTTGGATTGCCATGTCACTTGTTTCCAAATTAAAAATAAGTATTTCTAATTAAGAGTTATAAAGATGGAATGAGATGTATGCATACATCTGCTGACAAGGTAGAAAACATATATGTGTTTTTTTCTTACATCATTTTTTTAATGTTGTTGGGTCAAATGAACATCAATTAGAAGAAAACTAAAGTTGGTCCATTTATCATACAACACAATATACCCATAGATTTTTTTATAATTAATTTTTCTTTTTTAAAAATTAATTGTGGGCCGGGGATTTAGCACAATGGTTCTGCAGCCTGCCTCGCAAGCTCAAGGACCCAAGTTCGATCCTCAGTACAAAAAAAAAAAAAAAAAAATTTAATTGTGTTGGTACACTTTTGAGAAATATAATAATCATATTCATCAGAGGGAATTTATACCTATACATGAAATATCTTAATTCTTCTTTTTCCCCTTCCCCTCCCCCAACCCTTCTTCTCCTTTTTATTTACAAAACTTTGTTTCAATTTTTTCTTTCTATTCTTTTTTTCCCTTTTCCCTTTCTTCCATACTCCTCCCCCACCTTATTACCCTTCACATTTGAACATTTTCTTCCTAATTCTCAATATCTATCATCCATTTTAGTCCTTATTTGCACATTTAGTTATGTGTGTCAGATTTATTTCACTTAGAAGTAGTCTCAAAGTACATTCATTTACCTAAAAATGCCTCCCTTATCCTTCTTTATAGCAGAGTAGTCCTCCACTGTACATAAGAACCATATTTTCTTTGACAGTTCATCTCTTGAGGGTCATCTAAGCCATTTCCAAGACTCGACTATTACAAATTGTGCTACTATAAATATGGGTGTGCGCATACTGCTGGGGTATGATGCTTTTAACTTGAGAAGACTGGAAGAAGAGGAATAGTCAGGTCAAATGGAATCTCTAGTTTCAGTTTTTTGAGGACTCATCATACTAATTTCCATATTGGTTGCACAATTTACACTCCCACCAACATTGGAGAAGGGTACCTTTATCCCCACTGCCTCACCAGCATTTGTTATTAATTTCTTGATGGTAGTCATTCTTTCTGGAGTGAAGTGGAACATCAGCATTGTTTTAGTTTGCATTTCTTGAAAAACCAGTGGCACTGAACATTGTTTTCATGTTTATTTGCTGTTTGTACTTCTCCATCTGAGAAGTTTCTATTCATTTCAGATGCCTATTTTTGGATTGGGTCTTAAACTTTTGGGAATCTGTTGTTTTGGAGTACTTTATATATTCTAGATATTACTTACTTGTCTAGGGACTAGCTGGTGAAAATTTTGCCCAGTCAGTGTGTTGTCTTTTTACTCATGTGGTGGTTGCTTTTACTGCGCAAAGGCTTTTTAATTTGATGAGATCGCAGTTGATTATTTGTAATATTTCCTGTGCAATACGTGTTTTGTTCATAAAGTCTTTGCTTATACCTATGTCTTCTTGAGTTTATGTATCTTATGTTCAAGAAGATTAAGTGTTTCTGTTTTAATATGCAGATCTTTTATCTATG